CATGATTATGATCGTAACATATAGAGAGAGGAAAAAAAAAAAAAAAAAAACATATAGAGAGAGACTTTTGATCATTACTGGTTTTCGAGTGTTTATGTAGTGGGAAAGCTGCGTACGGTTTGATAAATGCGATGACCAAGGATCCCAAAAATTGGGAGGGAAAGAAGATATTGTTCATACACACTGGTGGGCTTCTTGGGTTGTATGATAAAGTTGATCAAATGGCTTCTCTGATTGGAAACTGGAGCCGTATGGATGTTCATGAATCCGTCCCAAGAAAAGATGGTGTTGGGAAAATGTTCTAGCAGAACAAAATTATGTAATAATCCTGTGAAGATGAGACAGGTTGAACAATTGTTTGGGCATTTGGTCTGATAAAATGCATCCCATTCATGTGATTTCTATTCTGTGTATTGTATGTAATAGCTATCGATGATTACGATAAATAAATGGTGTGTCCATTCTCTTTCTTATATAATATGTCAAGTGGAATCTCGCGAGCAAATATTCTGTTTCTTTTCTTACCATAGTATCAGGCTCCTCAGAAAACCCTCATTAGGTTTTCCTGATGTGTCTGTGTTGTTTTCCTCACTTTCTCATAAGGAAATGAAAACAAAGAAAAAGATCTCTGGGGACTTATCTTCTGATGAACTTACCATCCTAACCAGAGCCAATCTTCAGGTCTAATAGTCTAGTTGCGAAGTCATGTTAAACGTGTATCTACTAATCCTAATAAACTTTTTTTTACACTCTAAAATGGAGCCATTCAACACATGTTCTGAGAAAAGGCTTGTTTTATTCGCAGGTAACGTTATCCTTTTTTACAGGTCGTACTTGTCTCTTGATATTTCACTTCAACAAAGTTAGACCAGCATTATCGCTGGTTCTTAAGCCCAAATTTTGAACAAAAGTATGCTCTTCAAAAAGAGAGGCGGGTGTCTTGAAACCCTACGGAAGAACCATCTCTTGCCTCCCCTCTTCTCCTCTCTCTCCCTTTCCCACAGAGAATCTCATCTTCTCAGAGTACTATTCTGAAAGATCGCAAGCCAAAATCGATCTTCACCTAACCATGAAAGTATAAGAATAGTGGCTGAACTGATTTTATTATTCTGTATGATACGATATATATACAAGGTACAGAACCGTATTAGGTATAATACAATGACTAAAAGACCCTTATATATACATTCTCTACACCCTCCCTCAAGATGGAGGGAGTTTGATCACTCCAATCTTGGACATAAGCTCATTGAACCGTGGTCTAGGCAATGGTTTTGTCAAAGCGTCTGCTAATTGATCACGGGTGGAGACATGTTGGACGCGAAGTGCACCGGACTGAACGTTATCACGGACAAAATGGAAGTCAAGAGCTAGGTGCTTCATCTTCGAGTGAAAAACTGGGTTTGCGCTGAGGTACGTTGCCCCTACATTATCACAGTACACCGTAGGAGTGGAGGGCAGCTGTACTCCAAGTTCCTGTAAGAGCGAGGAGATCCAGCACAGTTCGGAGGCGGTATTGGCGACAGAGCGGTACTCTGCTTCTGTAGAAGAGCGCGCAACCCCGGTTTGTTTCCTTGAGGACCACGCAATAGGTGTCTTGCCTAGGTAAACAATATAGGCATTAGTAGACACAAAGTAATCAGTGTCACCGGCCCAGTCCGCATCAGAGAAGGCGTGGAGATTGATAGGAGAGCTGGGAGTGATGAAGATACCATGTGTTAGAGTTCCGGCGAGGTACCGTAGGATACGCTTCGCTGCTTGCCAATGGACATCCGTGGGACGATGCATAAACTGCGACAACCTATTAACACTGTAGGCAATGTCGGGGCGCGTGTATGACAGGTATTGTAGACTACCGATCACCATCCTATACTCCTTCGGGTCGTCGAGTGGATTACCCGAATGCAGTGATAGCCGAGGCGTGGTGGCTTGAGGCGTGGATACTGGTTTCGCGTCAAGCATATGAAGTTTAGTGAGCAAGTCAACAATGTACCTCTGCTGCATCATGTGAAGTCCCCGATGTGTACGCGTAACTTCGATGCCGAGGAAGTAGTGGAGGTCTTGAGGTTCCTTTAGAGAGAAACGCGATGCTAGTACGTTGATGCATGCATTGACGATGGAGATGGTGCTGCCGGTGATGATTATGTCATCGACGTAAATCAAGATGTAGAGGACTTGGGTGCCGTGCAGATATATGAATACCGAAGTATCTGCCGTTGAATTGTGACATCCCATTTGGAGGAGGAATGTCTTGAGTTCTTGGTACCAAGCTCTAGGTGCTTGTTTAAGACCGTATAAAGCTTTCTTCAAGCGGCAGACATGATGCGGCCTGTCTCGATCAACAAAACCTGGGGGCTGAGAGACGTACACTTCTTCTTTTAATGTTCCATGTAGAAAGGCGTTGTTGACATCTAGTTGCTTGAGAGGCCATGATCTTGTCACCGCTAGATGTAAGACGAGACGGATGGTGACGGACTTGACGACGGGGCTAAAAGTTTCTCCGTAGTCTACACCATACTCCTGGTTGTAGCCGCGTGCAACCCACCTTGATTTGTACCTGCCAAGTTCACCATTAGCCAAATATTTAAGTGTATGAATCCATTTTGAACCGATGACATTTTGATGAGGCGCAGGAGGGACCAATTCGAAAGTCTGATTTGCAATTTGAGCATCATATTCTACGCTCATGGAACGACGCCAATTCTCATCTCGCATAGCCTGGTGGATTGTGGTTGGGATTTGGATGTCAGGTTTGGTCTTTGTGGCTACAAGGGTGAGCTTTTTACTGGGTTTGGAGATTTGGTTTTTGGAACGAGTTCGCATAGGATGGATGTTTGGGAGTGGAAGTAAAGTGTTTTGTGAAACAGGCTGAGCATCGGTGGTGGTTTGTTGTGAGCCAGGGTTGGGTATTTGTGGTTCACTGGTTTGTGTTTGTGGCTGGGTCGTATCTGTTGCAGTCAATATCTCCGTTGAACTCTGTCCAGTACCCGTACCTTGACTCGTTGCTGCAGGTGCAGTCGTTGTCGGAGGTCTTCGTTGGTGAAGTTCCTGAGCTGGGGGAGCTGGTGCCGGCGAGCGTACGAGTGGTGGCTGCTGTATCGGAATAAAGGTTGGAGGAGAGAAGGTGGCATTAGTTTCTTCTGGGGGAGGGGTTGGTTTTGGTGGTGTTGTAAAGGGGAAGTCGGATTCTACGAAGGTCACATGTCTGGACGTGTATATGCGACCCGTAGGTTGATGGAGGCAAAGATACGCACTTTGCGTAAGAGAGTAACCAAGGAAAATACATCGGAAAGAGCGAGGGTCTAGCTTGTGAGAGGTATACGGGCGTAACCAGGGATAACATGCACAACCAAAGATGCGTAGCTTGAGGTAGTTGGGTGGTTTCTTGAAGAGCATGGCGTAGGGAGATTCTTTGGTGAGGACTGAGGAAGGCTGCCGGTTGATCAAGTAAACCGCCACAGCGAAGGCATAAGTCCAATAATCGGACGGCATAGACGCTTGATGGAGAAGAGTTAAACCCGTCTCGACAATATGACGATGCTTTCTCTCGGCGACACCGTTGTGTTCAGGCGTATGTGGTGGTGATGTGAAATGGGAAATACCGTGGGTTGCAAGAAACTGTCGAAGGGCCACAAATTCTCCACCATTGTCGGAGTAAAGGTTTCGGATGGGAAGGTTGAAGTGCTTCTCAACGAGGGTTTTGAATCGGGTAAAGATATCGCGCACTTGGGACTTTTGTTTGAGTGGATAAAACCAGGTGTAACGGGTAAAGTGATCAACAAAGATAAGGTAGTATTTGTAGTGATCAACAGAGGTAATGGGAGAAGTCCAGACATCGGTATAAATGTATTGAAGAGGTTGAGTTGAGGAAATAGAGTTTTGATGAAATGGAAGCTTATGAGTTTTATTAATAAGGCAATGAGAACAAGGTAATAGTTTTTGAGAAGTAGAAGAAACTGGCAAAGAAAACTTAGAAACAATAGTTTGTAAAGTAGAGATAGATGGATGTCCCAAGCGCGAGTGCCAATAGGTGATGGAGGTTTTTGGTGTTGGGGATGCAAAGAGGGAAACGGTATTGCGGGAAGTTACTGGCCACTCGTACAACTCGTCTTTAGTTTTGCCTTGGAGCAACCGGTCCCTCGTGCTCAGATCCTTCACCTGAAAGTGGGCAGGAAAGAATTCAACGGAGACATTGTTAGCATTACAGAAACGATAAACAGATATAAGGTTTTTCTGTAAATTAGGGACATAAAGAACATCATTTAAAGAGTAAGAACGAGTTGGAGTGGGAAGGGAAGTGGAACCAGTATGCGAGATAGGAATCGTCGAACCATCAGCGATTGTGACTTCTTCTCCTCCAGTGTACGGCTGGTGCAAGGAGAGATTGCTCAAATCTGTCGTTAGGTGATGCGTAGCGCCGCTATCGAGGATCCAGCTGTTGGGATTGTAAGCTTGTGTCGTTGCCATGTTAGCCCTTGGGTGCCATGATGTAGGCGATGGAGTGGTGTTGCGCGTAGGTGTCTGCGACCCCGAAGTGAAACCCGAAAGTAGTGGGCATCGCCGAGCACTGTGTCCATGCGCACCACAGAATTGACACTTTCCCTGATACCCCCGTGTTTGTTGTTCCGTGCGCGGTGAGAACTGCTGTTGCTGCTGCCATGTTTGTTGTCCGCGGTAGTTGTTGTTGCTGGTGCTGTTACGGCTTTGTCCATGGTAATTGCGGGTGTTGGTGTTGTTCGAATGGCCTCGAAACTGAGCCGCATTAGCCGTGACAGGTAGAGCAGCCGGTGGTAGACTCTTCGTTTGAAGCTTAACCTCGAAGTTTAGCAGCTTCTCGTGGATCTCCGTGATCGAAGGAGTCGTGTCACGGCTTTCGATTTGATCAACAATTTGTTTGTACTCTTCTGGTAAACCTTCGAGAACAAACTCAACCTGATCCTCCAGTTCGTAGGGCTTCCCAAGTAGCGCAAGCTGATCAAAACGAGTTGTGAACCCTTGGAGATATGCATCAATGGTCATCGTGCCCTTCTTCCAAGACTTCACTTGTTGACGGAGTTGCTGAATGTGTGCACGACTAGGCTTAGCGTATGTGGCAGAGAGAGTTGTCCAAATCTGAGCAGAGGTTGTGGTTGTAGAGAGTATTGGTTGAATGGTAACCGTGATGGCTCCAAGCAACGAGCTATAGATTAGCTGATCTTGACGCTTCCAGATTGTATACGCTGGATTCGTCGTTAGAACACCTTCGTTATTGACAGTCGGATTCGGTGGAACAGAGGAGCCGTCGATGAAACCGGCGAGATCGTAT